AGTCACATGCTCTCACTTCCAAAACTGAATTGAAGGGATTCTTGTCATCACAAACGATGAAATGTTCGCAGTCATACGGGTACCGTACCTGACTTTTACCATTGCATGAAGTATCTAAAAAATAAGAAGTCAGCAATAAGAAAAAGTGTCTGATGTACAAGATATGTAAAGTTAGTAATGTACCAAAACAAAAGTGCCATACTTTTAACTTTGTACAAATTTTCTGTTAAATAAAAAGTGAACTATTCGAATAAGCAAATAAAGCTTTCTTATCATCTTTGAAAATTTTTAACACATACATTGTAATTTTAAATATGTGCAGAAGAAGGTAAAAAATAAATTAAACAAGAGCCGGTTGAACCGGGTGATGCTCCCCGGAATAGGTTTTGGACACAGGCAGGTATGCCTCATGTTGTGTCAAAGTTATGTCACAGACAAAGTTCAAAGTGTAAAAACAACCAAAATATTGTGCACGACACATTGTCTCAATATGAGATCATTTTTGTGAAAAAGTTGTAAAATCCGACTTCAAATAACGAAGTTATGCGCCTGACATTATTTTGCTGCAAGGTCATGCTGTGACCTTGACCTTCAAGGTAGTGACCCAAATGTTGCATGTGACACGTCGATTCAATATGGTGATCATATCTGTGAAATAGTTGTTAAATCCGACTTCCAGTAACAAAGTTATGGGCCTGACACGATTTTGCTGCAAGGTCATACCGTGACCTTGACCTTCAAAGTAGCGACCCAAATGTTGCGCGCGACACAATGTCTCATTGTGGTGATCATTTCTGTGAAATAGTTGTAAAATCCGTCTTCAAATTATGAAGTTATGTGCCGGACACGATTTTGCTGCAAGGTCATGCTGTGACCTTGACCTTCAAGGTAGCGAGCCACATGTTGCGCATGACACGTCATCTTAATATGATGATCATTTCTGTGAAATATTTTTTAAATCCAACTTCAACTAGCGAAGTTATGGGCCGGACACGATTTTGCTGCAAGGTCATGCTGTGACCTTGACCTTCATAGAAGCGACCCACATGTTGCGCACGACAAATCGTCTCAATATGGTGATCATTTCTGTGGAATATTTTTTAAATCCGACTTCAAATAATGAAGTTATGGACCGGACACGATTTTGCTGCAATGTCGTGCTGTGACCTTGACCTTCAAGGTAACGACCCAAATGTTGCGCGCGACATGTCGTCTCAATATGGTGATCATTTCTGTGAAATATTATTAAAATCCAACTTCAAATAACAAAGATATGGACCGGACACGATTTTGCTGCAAGGTCATGCTGTGACCTTGACCTTCAAGGTAGCGATCCAAATGTTGCGCGCGACACGTTGTCTCAATATGGTGATCATTTCTGTGAAATATTTTTAAAATCCGACTTCAAATAATGAAGTTAGGGACCGGACACGATTTTGCTGCAAGGTCGTGCTGTGACCTTGACCTTCAAGGTAGCGATCCAAATGTTGCGCGCGACACGTCGTCTCAATATGGTTATCATTTCTGTGAAATATTTTTAAAATCCGACTTCAAATAATGAAGTTATGGACCGGACACGATTTTGCTGCAAGGTCGTGCTGTGACCTTGACCTTCAAGGTAGCAAGCAAAATGTTGCGCACAACACGCCATTTTAATATGATGATCATTTCTGTGAAATAGTTTAAAAATCTGACTTCAAATAAGGAAGTTATGGGCCGGACACGATTTTGCTGCAAGGTCATGCTGTGACCTTGACCTTCAAGGTAGCGACTTAAATGTTGTGCATGACACGTCATATTAATATGATGATCATTTCTGTGAAATATTTTTTAAATCCAACTTCAACTAGCGAATTTTATGGGCCGGACACGATTTTGCTGCAAGGTCATGCTGTGACCTTGACCGTCATAGAAGCGACCCACATGTTGCGCACGACAAATCGTCTCAATATGGTGATCATTTCTGTGGAATATTTTTTAAATCCTACTTCAAATAACAAAGTTATGGACCGGACACGATTTTGCTGCAAGGTCATGCTGTGACCTTGACCTTCAAGGTAGCGACCCAAATGTTGCGCGCGACACGTCGTCTCAATATGGTGATCATTTCTGTGAAATATTATTAAAATCCAACTTCAAATAACAAAGATATGGACCGGACACGATTTTGCTGCAAGGTCATGCTGTGACCTTGACCTTCAAGGTAGCGATCCAAATGTTGCGCGCGACACGTCGACTCAATATGGTGATCATTTCTGTGAAATATTTTTAAAATCCGACTTCAAATAATGAAGTTATGGACCGGACACGATTTTGCTGCAAGGTCGTGCTGTGACCTTGACCTTCAAGGTAGCGATCCAAATGTTGCGCGCGACACGTCGTCTCAATATGGTGATCATTTCTGTTAAATATTTTTAAAATCCGACTTCAAATAATGAAGTTATGGACCGGACACGATTTTGCTGCAAGGTCATGCTGTGACCTTGACCTTCAAGGTAGCGACCCAAATGTTGCGCAAGACACGTCGTCTTAATATGGTGATCATTTCTGTGAAATAATTTTAAAATCCAACTTCAAATAACAAAGTTATGGGCCGGACACGAATTCGGTACGTACGTACGGACGGACGGACAACCCGACGACTATATATTCGGGGAGCATAAAAAGTCAATAGTATACATATTAATAGTCACTTTGTATAACTTTTACGACGCCACTATCAGATGTGAACACTGTTTGGTCATATGCTTCTTCTGATGGTTTTGCAGTGCATCTAATATGTTTCCTGTGCCATTCCATTGAAACATCCTTCAGGCCAAATTGCAATTCCATCCTATACCAGCAGTTTTTCAAGACAAAGCTTATGTCATCAATCCACGCCGCATTTGTATCACTTACACTGTTTGAAGAGGGCCAAAAATAAGGCGGCAACTCACTTGGAAAAAAAAAATTAATAAGACAAATTCTTAATAGTTCATAATTGACATGATTGATGGGATATTAATCATTTTGATTTGTGGTAATGATTTCATACAGAAAAAGATGGGGAAGGCACAAAAATATTAATTTTGTAACGAACACTACTAGAATGATTGGATTTGCAGTTCCCGGAAGTAATTGACAATTATCACAATTAAAGCAAATATTTAGAATAAAAATAAATGAATAAATTGTGATTCAAAAAATTCTGTACAAATGTGGATAAGTATTCATGTCTGATTAGTTTTATTACCGATTGATCAATATTAATGATTATTGATTACCTAATGTTTGGAGAAGACAGCAGAGCTGTAAAGGAACCGTTATAGTCAGTGTCAACGGTCACGTGACCGTTCGGTTCCGGAAACAACATTTCACAATGAAAAAGTGTGGACTTGATATCTCCTTCGACAACATGGGCTGGCACAAAAAGCTCCGGCTTAACCGTTTTGCCTAAGGAATAGACACTCCAAGAAAATTATTATTTTAAAGGAACATGCGACTTTTTTACTAAAGGAACTGCACTGAGGTGTGAATGCCTAAACGAATAAGATTTCTTAAAAAAGATCAACTGCGACTCTAAAATTTTCAATTGTTTATTCACATTTGAATAATTATAATGATAAAATGAAATAAGCGAAAGATCTGAAACTTGGCATACAAGTTGCTGGTCAAGACCTACAACAAATAGAATATTTATCTCGAATAAATTGTTTCCAGTCTCGTCATGTCAAAAAATCCTCAGTGAAGTCTCTTTAACCCTAACCACGCTTAATGTGTTTAATAAATGTATAATTTTACATTGTATACAATAAAGCAGATATTTTTTTTTCAATTAAGAAGGAAGATTATAAATAACTAAAAATAGGCTAAAGTTTTCTTGAAGATTTGTTACTAACAAACATGTTACATGTAGGACAATTATGCACTAACTTTAGTACTTAATTATGTTTCATAAGATTAAAAGAAGTTCTGTAAAACATATTACCTTGTATTCGAACAATTTTCACATCACGAAATGTGTTCACGGTATCACTTGTTTCAATATCACAGGTTATGTTTATTTCACCAGGTTGTTCGAAAGCATCGGAGCATTTGACGGTCTCAATCATCACTTTAAATGTACCCGATTCATGCGTAAATGTTTTTTCAATGATAATAATTCTATCATTGTCTTTAGTCACTATGTACGAGTCTACATTATTGACAATAGAGGCAATTACGGATTCATCTTTTGTGTTAATGCGTTTGAACTTTATATTCCTCCAGTTTGGTATTTTTCTGAATTCACACGACAGGGTTGCCATCCCACCGATGAGGAAAGTATCGGTGTCTACAGATAAATCAACTGAAACATACAATCAGTACAAATACAAAGAAGAAAATAGTACATTCTGTAGTAAAAATAACCAAACGAGGAGAAATTGAACGTCGACCAAAACGGAAAAGGTTGAGAATAATACATGTCTTGTTTGCTTGGGTCTGTTAAAAGACTTTGCAGCAAATATAAATCACATTTAACAAAAACTATACAAGAGCGATCAGTGATCACATGTGTCGCCTCATGATGGCTAATTTCATGTAGGGACAAGTTTTGTAACAGATGGAGAAGTGATCGGAGTAGTGGCGACATAAATTCCTGTAAAGTTAGGATGAAATTGCCCCAGTAGCTGTGGGGACAAGTTTTGTGACTGACGGACAGACATACAGACAGTGCACAACTAGAACTACTGATCATTCCTGTAAAGTTGGGATAAAATTGCACCAGTAGTTTATGAGGAGTAGTCCGGACAAGCTTTTGTGTATCTTGCAACACACAAAAAATAACACCTTTTTACCAAAGGGCCATAACTCGGCCAAAAATCATTCAACCGGAAAACCCGTGCAATATGTGCAAGGACTTGAGCTAGAGATCAATCCTGTAAATTTCATTGAAATTGCATTAGTGGTATAAGAGAAACAAACTTTAAAAATTAAAATTATTAAAGGGCCATAAATCTTACAAAAAGCATTGAACTGAAAAATGCTGACAATATGTACAACTAGACTTAGTACTGATCATTCCTGTAAAGTTTGGATGAAAGTGCACCAGTAGTTTAAGAGGAGTAGTCCGAACATGTTTTGTGACGGACGGACAGACGGACTGACAGACGACGGAGAAGTGATCCCTATATGTCGCCACTACTCCGTAAAGGCGACACAAAAAGAAATCATTATGTAACAAGAGTGAACAACCATTTTAGACTAAAGTTGCAATATCTTACCTAAATTTTCACATTTTGGATTTCCGACCCACACGCCATTCTCGTTACACATTACGGAACTATCACTAGATGTTGTAAAATGGAAACCAGGCCCACATTTAAGATTAATTGATGACCCTACTGTTGTTTCATTTACGGACTGTTGAGTATGAATATGGTTAGGTGGCTGATAAATCCCACAGTCAATTGGCTCACATGTAATTACTTCATTCCAAGATCCCGTTTCTAGACAAATTGCCGTATCCATTTCTTTTACTTCAAAACCTTTATTACATGTTATCTTAACAGCCACTTGTGGTAACATCTCTTCAGAAACATTGATATGGCCGTTGGACAAATTTGGGTATTTTTGACACTTTGTCTGACATCCATGTTTGTAGTCACACACGTTGTCGTCCTCTGCAATGTACGAAAAATAAGATATTTTTTATTTCAAATGATTACGATAATTCATTTTCGTTGTCTACTTTTATGGTATACAAATATAAAATACAGACAAACAGATTCCCTAAAGAAAGTACAACACGACAAAATTGAAAATGTTGCAGGCTTGGTTTGATTTAGCCTGTTCTAGAACGGTATAGGAAAGTGCAAGTTACCGTCTACACCCCTTAGCACCGGCTAAAGCAGAATTCAACATTTAACATGAACTGGTAAAATTTTGAATTTTGACACATCCGCAGATGTGTTCATATGGCGGTTATCATGGAACCTTCAATGTGGCACGTAAGTGCCATTCCAAGAAAAGCGGCATATGGTCCCCAAGTTAAAATGCGTGTGCCCTAAACGAGATAACAATAGGCAGAACTAAATAAAATGGCATTTTTAAAGGGGATCAAAAGACAACTTTAAAAAGCAGGCCGCATATCCTAAGGGTGATTTAACAGTATTGAAGGAAATAATACTGGAACCACCCAGCAAGAAAATAGCCAAATAGAAAGAACTTAATTACAACAAGCACAACAATAATATCGTGCTGAACGATCTTCAAGGATCAAAAATGAAAGCAAAATTAAAAATAAAGATCAAATTTTCTTTTTCTGTGGCATATGAGATGGTTTGAATCGGTTTGTTCTAAAACGCGAAGATATAGTTCACATTAATTTCAAAATATTAAACTTGTTATCGAGTCAGAAAATATAGGTGAGGCGGTAGTACTGTATAAATAATGAAAATTATTTTGAACAGTTTTATATTTTCTCAAAGTTCGTTTATATGAATACTTGATTAGTATAATTATTATAATTATATCAACATATAAATGTATTTCATATCACAAAAAAACCAGGAGCAAGTCAATGACAACGTCAATACATAAAAAATACATAAAAAATGCAGTGCATTGAAGAAAAAAAATGCAAATTTAGCTAAATAGCGAAACGATGCTAGTTATCTCTTTTCTTATTATAACAAGTTTACAATAATTTCAAATTGTCAATAAATAGCAAGTCTACGAGTATCTACCAATGGACAGATCAGAATACGACGAAATTTTATTACATGGTTCATCACCATATTACATATACAAATACAACATATAATACATGAACATGTACATGTATACTGAAAAAAAAATGGTTTATGAAATGTAAAAATGCAGACGGGAAATTACTTGAAAAGCATTTGAATACATATGGAGATATTATTGAAGGTATTCCTATGCACAGTCTCTAAAGGAATATGAAAATCTTAAGTAAAAAATAAAAGTTAATCTTGAATGTCGGCTAGCACCGTGAAATTAACATTCTTTCAGGCTTGGTTTGATTAAGCCTGGTCATAATGTGTAACATGTTAATTTGAAAATGATGCCATTTCATCCGAATATGTCAATAACATATACCTTAAAAACGACAAAAGGAAGTAAAGGTAGGTGAAATATAAATAGTAAATAAGTAATACGTATTAAGAACGATTTAAATAAGGGGTGTATATAGTATATTAATTTATAAGGTACATCTATGGTTGCATTTATTTAAAGTTTAGAATGTATCTGGTTGTATTTGTATTGCAATTAATATTAAGTTGATGAATGGTACGTGTTTAAAAATACCTTTTAAATTACCAATCATTAGAACTGCGACAATAGAGGCAATGGCAGCGGCAACTAATACAACCAGAATTACACCAGTAATTATTCTGCATTTACTACATATTTTCTTCTTCTTTTTATTTGGTTCTGTCACTATTTTATTTGAAGGCACCTGCAATATCAAGGTGGATCATACATTACAATTTTTCAAAGGAGTTCTACTGTCAAAGAGTCTTAAAGAATAAAAATAGAAATGCTTGCACAATTAAGATAATTATTCTGGGCAAACGGATGGAAAGAATTGATCTGATGTTTTGCGTACAAGTCGTGACTTACATGAAATGGTACACACGTCTTGAAAAAATATATATATAAATCTAAACAGTTTATAAGAAAGTGTCTATTAAGTAAAGATAACAAATATATAGTAACAAGTTGAGCCCCTACCTAACTGCTTCTCTTTTTTTTTTAACCCTGTGTCTGGTAGAGACACCGATTCAACCCATGCAGCCAGTGTAGACCAAGATCAGCCGACGCATTCGTGACGTCTGATCAAAGTCAGCACTGTTTGTTATTCATCCAGTACTCATTGAAAAACATTCACTATAATAATAAACGATTTCGTCATAATTGAAGGATGGTAAGTCAGTGAAGTGCGGGTAAAACTACTTAAATCTACATAAATTAAGAACACGTACCCTGCCCACACCATATGTACTCGTCAATGTTGCCCCAAGTCCATTGTCAGGTTGGTGATACTCATGTGTTTCATCAAGCCAACTTATCCTTATATCGCTATGATTAGTATCATCACCACTATCTCCAATCCGCCGAGGGTTCGATTCAAGGTAAGCGTCAGCTGAGTCATCAGTACCCTTACTTTGACATTTAGACATATTACCATCATGTTTTTTCTCATCATTATCATTATGTTCAAGTTGTTGGATTTGCTCGCTATGATGATTTTCGTTGTTTGAATCGCTCAAAAAGTGTATCTCACCATTTGTAGCATACGAATAACCAGCGGTTCTTTCTCTATTTGGGCTTGTAGGGAGTCGATCACCGGTATTAAAAGACACATATAAATCCGAGGTACTTTCACGTTTACCAGGCGTAGCGTTATCATATTCAGGGTTTGGTGTAAAAAGCGTTTTTTTACCGCTTCTGTCTTGAATAGTTGCATAATGTTCGGAATTGCCGGACATCCGTAGTTGTTCGTTTGTAACACTCCATTGTACGTTGTTAATCTTTTGGTGTTTTAACTGCCCTGTGTTTGGATCATTGGATATGTTATGCTTATCAAAACAAACAAAGCTTTTCTCTAGTGGCTTTAATAAATCCATTTCAATTTTAATACGGTTTATATTTTTATAAAAGATTTGCAAAATGCGTTTCATATATCCTTTGTCGGTAGATACTACAAAGTAAATATTCAAAGTGTGAAGTAAAATAACTGTTGAAGTTTATTTATTTCGGAACCGTTGTAAACATAGCATGGATCAGTGCACTTTAGAAAAGGTAACTCACGTGTGTTTGGATAGTATTGTAATACTTATTGGCCATACTTCTTACAGCGAGATGTGTAGTGTATTGGTAGCGCGCTGGTCTATCAACTATACAGGTGCGGGTTCAAATCCCAGCATTAATAAATTGTAACTTTAGTTTGTATTACTGTATCACAGTCAATAAAAAAAGATTTGTTTTTTTTATTACAGTGAGCAGTTGAATTTCATGTACATGTATGTTTTAAAAGAATATTATATTTTGCGTCATTACTAAGTTTATCTTATTTGTATTTAATAATGTTCATGCTTGCAAGATATTTCTGTTGTATCAAACAAGTTAAGTACATTTAGTATTGAACCTTTACTTATTGATTTTCTCTCTGTTATAATAATATTTGGTTTGTTTACAATAAACTGTACAGTATATGTGTATTAAGTCAATTTTAATTAGTAAGTGAAATTAAATTCTAAAATAAGTTTGTGACAGTAATCCCCATTGTTTTCTACAATTTTGTATACATACACATAAATTCGTAAAACATAGCTATGTCCCTGGTCACTTTTATTTAGATATATGTGTTATTATATCACTTTCTATTGAAGAATATCTACATAAACTATGATCTTATAACAATATTGTTCAACATTTTGTCAATCCATAATAAAAAAAAAATTCTTAATAACAAGGAATGTTTTGTAATTTATTTAGCATCAAATGCATAACATACTTCATTCTCAGGCATTTCCACCTTGTCATTACTCCATTCCTGGAGATGGTGGTTACTAATTTTGTACAATTTGTTGACGGACTTCAGTGTCAATATTGTATCAGGCCAACACTGGCATTTGATACTGGATTTTAATATAAATATGTAGCTACATAAAAGTGAAATTGAGCAATAAAAGGGCTAACAGAATGGAAAACGACACACAAACAGGATATAAAAAATCATGTTGATGGCAAACTACCTTCATTTTAAAAAAAACCCTTTTTTGGATACCTGTAAAATTTGACAAAGATTGCCTACACTGTGTAAGCTCAATCAAACAAGCACTTGGTCAACAAGAATAAACTTTAGTTCGTTTCTTTGAATAAAAAAGCTGAGACACAAAGCATAGTTGTTCACATGCATTTATTTTCATAAAAAAAGATTATTGATCAATAATCCGTCATAGTAGAAATTCTCGCTGTAAACTTTTCTATCGGGGTTAAAAGGCGATTTTATGCGCCGCCATATTGTTTGTAGTATCTAGTGGTGACGACCAATCAAAATTTGGGGTCCGTCGGGGGTTTTTGAAGGGAAAAAAATATGAAAAACAAGATCAACAAGGAAAGGCGGCGTTCAATGAACGCAAGCCGTGTATATTGGAGAAAAGGCCGTGTATTGGAAAAATGTAAACATGACGAGTATTCAATGAAAATTACGGTAACAAAGGTGCAGTATTATAAGACCTTCTATAATTGATGTTCTCCTTCATCTTTTTCGCTAATTGTCTTAATGTAAACAGAGTTTTTTTCACGCCTTACAAAGCGTGTTTCAATACTAAATATAAGTTCAAATGCAATACCTGTCGGGGTCTTTGAATTCCTAATCAGTTACAAATTATTTATCAATTATTAACTATTAACCTGTCCGTGCTCAGTCTTTGCCCTGTCCTGTTTTTGTTTGGGGTCCACCTGGGCTCCTTGCCATTGGTTCTTGTTGCTGGGTCATATGGGGGTTGCGTTCATTGATGCCGCCTTTCCTTGTTGATCTTGTATATCATATTTCACATAAGGTTGTTATATATCAAGTGTGATTACAATACCTAATTCCAAACTCTAGTCATTGTCTAGAAACCATAATTTTGACCGACCTACGGACCGGCCGACCGACTGACAAGCTGAAATATGATAAACAAGATCAACAAGGAAAGGCGGCGTTCAATGAACGCAACCCCCATATGACCCAGCAACAAGAACCAATGGCAAGGAGCCCAGGCGGACCCCAAACATAAAAAGGACAGGGCAACGACACGTTAATCATTAAATGATAAATAATTTGTAACTGATTAGGAATTCAAAGAAAATAATAATAGGCCCACAAAGGGGAAGGGGACAGGAGACCGGGGGAAGGGGGGGGGGTAATCAAACTCCTTTCTACCCTCCCTTCCCCCAAAAAAAAAAAACAAAAAAAAACCAAACTTTGTTTGTGGGGGTATAATATGCTCGTTATCCTTGTCTTACCATATTTTAGGATATCACTCTACAACTATTACAACATATGCTTAAATGCACATTTCAAGAATCTTGAAAGCATTTCAAGAGCAGTAGGTCTTTCTAAAGGCACAATCCTCTGAAACTTGTGTTGCTTGATATCTTTTGCATCCATGTCAGACTTCCATACACGATCTTTAAAAAATAGCAAATTGATCAAACCGAGCCTGCAACATTTTACAATTTTGCCGTGTTGGGCTTTCTTTAGGGATTCCGTTTTTCTCTATTTTAGTGTCACATCCGTGTTATTTGTGCCATGTGGCGGCTGTTAACAGTCTCTCCGCACATTTAATCAATGGTGTTATATTTTTTATATTTTCGATCCTTGAAGATCGTTCAGCACGACATTATTGCTGTGTATACATTTTAGATGGTATTTTAAGTTTCTTGTATTTGGACTTTTTCAACTTGGGTGGAATACTGTATAATCACCCTTAGGATATGTTACCTGCTTTTTAAATTCGTCTTTTGACGTCTTGTCTGTGATATGCAGGCTTCATAACCTCAGATCCCCTTTCAGAATTCCATTTTTAAATTATTTAGTTCTGCCCATTGTTTTCTCGTTTAGGGCACGCATTTTTTTACTTGGGGGCCATACGCCGCTTTTCATGGAATGACACTACAGTAACTGTGTCACATTGAAGGTTCCATGATAACCGCCGTATGAACACATCTGCGGATGTTTCTAAATTCAAAATTTCACCATTTTTTGTGTTTGAATGTTGAACTCTGCTTAAGCCGGTGCTAGGGGGCGTGGACGGTAACTTGCAGTTTCCAGTACCGTCCATGAACAGGCTCAATCAAACCGAGCCTGCAACATTTTACAATTTTGTCGTGTTGGGCTTTCTTTACGGATTCCGTTTTTCTTTATTTGAGGAGTGTGCAGGACAGGCTTCAAATATCACTCATTTTCCAACTCAGGGGCTCTTTATGCCGGTGTATCAGGCTGTTGACAAGATCATTGCTGGCTAGTCTATTTCCAGGTTTAATGGCTCTGTGTATAATCATTGTTGTTTGCTTCGGCCCTTAATAGCTGTAGGCGCATTTCTGTTTTCTTGTCAACAGATATTTCAGTTCTACTTTCTTTCATTACTGAAAAAAAAAATCATGAAATTCAGTTCACTGCCTTCTATAGCAAATGCCATAAGCTGCACTATTTTAGGATGGTGCAGCCTACTAGAAACTTTCATTATTCGAATCACCATATCCCTTACCAAATAAACCAATCGCATCCTTTTAACAGTAATTTGTATTACTGCTACCACTGTCCCTAGCCAAAAAACCCTAAAGACGGTCCCAAATGCTCCCTGTCCAATCTTTCAATCATTTCTACTTTGTCCATTATAATTTTGGGTGCACATATTTCAGTGAACACATTTGGCTCTTTTTCAGCTAATTAAAAAAAATTCTGTATTGTCTTTTCTGTGATCATATTCAGCTGGCTTTGCTGTAATCTCTGTCCTTTGAACATTGCTGTGCATTTTGTTGTTAGACATGTCCTGGGAATATACAGAACTGATTTTGCTATCCACTTTCAACGATTGTTTGTTTAATTAAATGGCCTGTGAATACAACAAACTTATTTTGCTGTGTTCTTTTGCAATGCCTGTCCTAGGAAAGCATTTGACTGAAATTAATGTGCGTTTTCACACATATGTGTGGGGGTTGCGTTCATTGAACGCCGCCTTTCCTTGTTGATCTTGTTTATCATATTTTCAACTTTTCTTTCTTGTACATGTTGTAATGTATGTCCTGAGAAAATAATTGGCTAAAACTGCTGTTCACTTTCATCTATAGTTATTTGTATGGTGTGTTCTGGGTATGTTTTGGAATCACACTTGAATTATTTTGCTGCACACCATAAATTGTTGTTTGCATTATCATCTATTTTCGGAACACAATTGGCTGGTTTTGCTGTGAACTATCAATTGTTGATTTTTGTAATGTTTCATGGAATACAATCAATCCATTGTGCGTGATTGTTTATGAATGTATGACTGTGCTATCTTACACGAAGGGTGAATACCTAACATTTCTTCTGAATACCTGTTACTTCGAAATAATAAATTCCTTGCTCCTCTATCCCCAGTAAACAATGGTTTGTTCAGCGTTCATTGTTTGTTGCCCTCTTTCATGCCCTGCCTATTTCCCAATTGTCCGTTTAATTCCCTTATAGGCCCGTTTTAGTTGATATTATTTCACATTACATGCCCCACTTCTTTCACCCTTATGTCCGCTCTAGTGTTTTTTAAGTGTGTCGGGGGTCGCGTCCTGTGAACGTTGCCTTTGCCTTGTTGATCTTTATTCTTGTTTTTTATACCACTGTCGACAATTTCACCATCTTTATACCAATTGTGAAGATGAAACATTGTCATGCATCCTATAATAAGATTATTCAAGTCGTCAGTTTTACTCCTATGAATAATACCCGGTCCATGAATGAAGCATTGTAATCTTCAAGATCTTCTTTTGCTAGGGACATGGACGTTCTGTATGATTTTATGGAAATGGAACTTGCTGTATAAGCATATATAGATTGTGTTCCTTTCTAATATGATATTTCCGGCAACCCAGCTTTAATGTTGTTTACAAGAAAACACGGACTTTTTTCTTTTGTTTGTAATCATTTATCTGTATCTGATTCTGAATCGATTTTCGTTCTTAAGTATAAATGACACTGAGATGGGT